ATTAATGTTCAAATAACGCAGCAACCGCAGGGAGGGATTTGGTTATTCAGCTGTGTCGGTGAGGGTTTAGAAAGGGAGAGCTGTGGGAATGTGAAAAGCCAGGATTCTGCAGATCAACCCAGGTGTTTATCTAGAGTAAAGAAATGTTACTGATTGCTACTGTGGTTGTGTGTAAGACTGAAATGCTGAAAGAGAACTGTAACTCTCCAACTCCGAGTCTGAGAGAGACCTGGCATTGGCTTTCTGAACACTTCTGCGACCTGAACCAAAAACCTGCTGTGGGAATGTAGACTTACCATAGAGCTGTGGAAGAAAACTTCAATCGTGTCACTTCTCTCGGTCTTCAGAGCAGTCAACATGGTTTTGATGTAGGTTTTAGATTATGTATATATAAATCTGATTGAAGTACCAACAGCAAACCATAAATAAAATGTGGACTTAATTGAAGAACGGGCTAGTGGAGGCCTCTTGTGTTGAATTTATTGAAATACAATTTTAAAAGTTGGTGGAGGAGACTTTGCTGTGATGAAGACGGAAATAAAGCTGGGGTGTCTTCAAGTTGAGCCAGGTTTGCTGCTGCCTTTGCACCCCCTGTAGCACCCGGACCGGCTGCAGTGTCTGGAGACAAGCTGGGAATGCTCCTGGGCACAGCCTTGGTGCCTGGGAGGACCAGAGGCTCTGGGAGTGGCACTCCAGGGACAGGTGTCCTGTCACATTCCAGGTGTCCTGACACATTCCAGGTGTCCTGTCACATTCCAGGTGTCCTGGCACATTCCAGGTGTCCTGGCACATTCCAGACCGAGAGGAGGCTGGGGTGCTGCTGTGAGCCTGTGCACTGCTTTGCTCTGCCAGAGCAAGGGCTATCACCCAAAGGAACCTGAGGTGGGTGTAATGGAGGGCTCCTGGAAACCTCTGGGTGCCCAGGTTTGCGCTTGAAGATATGCAAGAAAGTGGAAAAGAGTGGTAAATTGTTGGGAAGCTGCAGTACTAACATTAAATAAAAAAACAATTTAAAAGACATCCTGGAAGCAGGTGACTCAAGAGGTGACACAAGAACTTCTTTACACTGAGGGTGGCAGAGCTCTGGAGCAGCTGCAGAGTTTCCCTCYCTGGAGACATTSCAGACCCACCTGGACACGTTCCTGTGTCACTGCTCTGGGTGACCCTGCCCTGGCAGAGGGTTGGGCTGGGTGATCTCCAGAGATCCCTCCAGCCCTGACTGTTCTGTGATCCTGTGACACCCAAGTTTATCTCTGGTCTGTTCAGTCGATGTTGCCCATTTGAGTGAACATGAGTGTGAATTCTCTGGACATTAACACATTGACAAAACTGAGGATTCAGGATACACTTTGGATGTATCCGAACAGATCGTTGCTGGGTGGGATTTGCTGTTAACTGGGAGAAGAAAGATTTTGATGAAGACAGCAAAAATATAAAACAACTCCCACGAATGTTTCTGTTCTCACATTTCTCTTTGAGAATTTGTTAATGCCACAGGACCAAAAAAGCCATTTTTTTTAAATTTAACTTCTGTGGAGGGTGTAATGATTTATTGATCACCCAACTCCCTGAAATCTTTTAGAATCTGGGCTCCTGTGGTTTTTACATTAGCTGAAAATACAGCCCAAAGCATTTCCCTTAGGTTTGATAGATACTTACCTGGTAACTTCAGCATAACAGGATCATTACCTTGCTGCTGGAGCTTGTTTCCCTCTCTTCTTCATGTAGAAACTCCCTGGATGGGTTTGCTCTTGTATTTTCCTACTCCACACTGTTTGCTTGCATCTCCCTTTTCAGTTCCTCACAGAACTTTTACTGTTCCTTGCATCTCCCAGGACTGCACCCCTTTCTGATTTCTCCAGGCTGGGCATTCAGGGCTGGGAGATGGTGCTGTGGGAAGCCCTGGGGCAGGGTTGAAATTCTCCTTCTCCTGGGCCTGGCTCAGTGCAAGGTGGGAACGTTTGGACCATGCAGAAGTCACGGAATGTTGGAAAGGGATAATGATGTTAATGAAGGTTTTGTTACCATGAAATAACTTGTGATACCTGTCCATGCTTAGGTAGCACTTGGTGCTTTTCAACACACCCTTAAAAATTATAAAGAAAATGCTGTTTGGTCTTTCAGTAGATGGGAAATTTGAAGTCCTTCTAAAAGAAGATTTCAATGCTTCACTGGAACGTTTTGTTGTTTGTTTTTTTTTTAAATTTTAGTGAACAAAGGCTTATACTGAAAATAGCCTCTGAAAATTCTGCAGGAACACTAAACATCTTTCTTTAAAGCAGTTTGCTTTATTTCAAGATTTCTGATGTCCTTGTAACTGTGCTAATCGCTATATGAGAGGATGTAATAATCATCATCATCATCATCATTATTATCATTATTATCATTATTATTATTTTACTAGCAAGCATGGCTGTAGGTTTTTTTAATTTGACTGTATCTTTAATAGCTCATGTCTTCTGTGCAGCATTAGGGCTGCTCCTCCCTGAAGTGAAGTATCCTGGATATAAACCATATAAGCAAATCAACTGGGTATTCTGCCATGCTGCTAAAACAGTTGGTTTGAGCAGGAGGTTGCTGATTATGATACACAATTAAAGCATAATTACAGCACATTACATAATTACTCCCACAGCAGGGGGGTTGGAACTAGATGATCTTTAAGGTCCCTTCAACCCCAAACCATTTTATGATTCCATACAATGAGTTACGGGGGTAGGAGAAGTGCAAGACCACAGAAGGAACTGTGTTTTTTCTATTGAATGTGGTTTATTTTGCTTCATTTACACTTGAAAGTGTTTCTGTGATGGAGCTTCTTCAGTCAGATTTGTGTTTTCCTGTGGTCAGCAGCTCTCAGCTCCTGCTCCTCTGCAGTGTTCCTGTTGTATTTAATTCCTGATTTCTGCAGTGCAGGCTCAGGTGGAGCCTCTGCCCTGCTCAGCTCAACTGAGGCTCAGCCCACACAGAGAACARGCACTGGCTTAACTTCAGTCCCATTTTTGTTTTCTATTCAGTGCTTTCACAGATCCTCCCAGGCTGAAGTTAAGCATTTGGGAACCCAAGTGTATATTTTTATGTGTATTTTTTTATTCTTGTTGCATTGTTAGTTCCTTTAAGTTCCCCTGTCATGTAAACTGCTGGAGTTCACTTCCATTCTGCAGCTTAAATCAGACCTTCAGTCTGGAAAATATATTTCTGTTTATTTAAATTTTTCATTCAAGGTTGGTTTCTTTAGAGCCTCTGATTTTTTTATCTTATTCCCTCTTCCCTCATGTTTCTTTTCACAGATATTTAACACTGGATGTGTTGGGACTGGAGGAACATTTTTCCCCTGGGTAAAGTTCGTCTTGTGGTCATTTGCCAGCATCACTGTGGCTTTTTTAAGTTCTATGTTTATGCTGATAACAGGAGACTGTACTGGAATAGTAGCTGCTACTGGAGTTTGGTGAAGAAAGTAGAATCTTTGAAATCTTCATACTACTGTGTGAATTTAGAGACTTCTGGCATTGCAAGCCTCTGTTTACATTAAATGTGCTTGTAGCTGCATTAAGCATTGTAATATGGTACTTATTTATTTGCAATGATTTGTATTAATTATTCCCTACTCATGGATTTGGTGCACTGATCCTATGGCTGTAAACACCTGTGGGCCTCTGACAGTGCCTGGAGCAGCAGCGGAGGCAGCCAAGTGCTGTCAGGAACCATCTCCCCAAGAAAATATAAGGGGTAAACAGGTGCTATGGGTTTCTGTGAGTCCTTTCGGTGGATTTAATGTAAATTCTTGTGGAACATTAAACACTTCAGCTGTTCTTCTGATGGTGTTTGGGAGGAGCATTACACTTTGGTCCCTGTCAGGAGAGCACAGGCACAGAAGAGCTGCTGACCTCATGTAAAGAACAGATGTGAACTTCAGACTTTGATGGTATTGGAAGAATATAAACAGAAACAAAGAGTTGTCATTGCTTCGCCTTGTTTTTCCCAAATGTGATCTGATGCCTTTCCTCGAGGTGTAGTTTGGGTTTTTAAAATCACCTTCACCACCCCAGAAACCCATGGCCAGCTCCAGTGCTGGTTTTGTGGGTGGGTATGGAAACATTTCTGCTTTGCATTCCCCTGGATTCCCACCGAAGTCAGTCACATTCATCCATGAAGTCTGGCCCTCAGCACTGACATCTCCAGCACAGCCAGAGCTGCTGCAGATCAACAGGAACCCTGACTTTGGGCTCAGAGGTGAAGCTGAGCCCCATCTGCTTTCAGAGGTTTTTTTCCTCCAAGAGCCAGTTCAGAAATGCTGTAAATGAAGCCATTTTGCAATAAACTCCTGTCTCTCTTCTCTCATTCCCTTACAAAAACTTGGCTTTTCACAGGACAGCTGTTCTCATGAGAACACACCTTCCTAGGGGACCTTAGTGCTACTGCCCACATTACTGCAGCACCTTGGAATATCCTGTTATGAATAACTGACCATCTGCAAAGGGGAAATTTTGGAAGCTGTCTGCCCTTCACAAGCACTGAGTAGAGGGGGCAGTCTGTGTGATACCTCGAATTTCTGAGGCACCTTCCATTTGGCTGGAGCCTGGAGTTCCAAAAGGAAGCCCAAGCCTTGCAATGAGAGCAGCTAAATACTTCCAAAGTTCTACAACTCTCACTTTTCCCCCAAAACACAAAAATGGAAAACCATTATAATAGAAGTTATGAACTTAAAAAACTGAGCACCCTTTCACCATTTCAGCCAGATTCCAGAGTTAACCAGGTGACCAAGGGATTATTTGACTGGCTGTCCTGCTTTGTCAGGCCCCAGCTTCCATTAACCCAGCCAACACAAACATCACACCAGGGCACAAGAGCATCCATGAAAGTGCTACTGCAGCCTGCAGGACAGGCTTACAGACTGCAAGTGCTGCTGAGAATCCCTACTCTCCACTCACAACTTCCCATGCAGAACATCACCCCTGTTTCATCCCCGCTGCAGCAGCAGATACCACCAGCTTCACACGAGCTCTGTTGTACAAATTTATTGTGTGGCCCCCAAGGTGGGTGCTCAGTTCTCCTTTTCCTGCACAGTCTTTGTGCCCCGCAGCCGCCCCGTGCGGCGCGCAGCGATGAGCCCGACCTTGCGTCCGGCAGGAGCGTCCCTCCGGATGGTCGAGGGCTTCCCGATGTGCTGGTGGTTGCCTCCTCCGAAAGGATGCTCCACAGGCTGTGCAGGAGGAAAGCAAGCCAGCAATGTAACCACTGAAACTGATGTTCAACAACAATTAACTGATTTAAGGGGACAGAGTAACTGCTTCACTTTTCACGTAGTGCAATCACCATCAAATGCTGATTTATGCTGTGACTGCACATTTATCTGGGAAGACTTTTTCCCAGACACATGCCATGCTTGTCCCCATAGCCCACAAATCTGTTCTGAACTGTCAGAAGGGACAGGGATGACTCCAAAGATACTCACGTTCATGGCCACACCACGGACACGTGGCCAGCAGTTCCTCTTGGCCTTGTACTTGTGGTAGGCACGGCCAGCCTTTAGGATGGGCTTGTCAATACGGCCTCCACCAGCCACGATTCCTGCAGGGAATGGCAGGCATGGGAACACCCGAACAGAACACACAGGAGGCCAGAAGAATGCCAACACCAACAGTGAGATCACAGCTGAGCTACAGCCTTCTTTTTGGTTTGTGCACAGACTGAGTTTAACACTTTCTAAGGCACTGCCAGTTTTACTGCTACGATTTATTGAGCAACATCGAGTTTTTTCAACTGAAGTACGAATTGAAAGAGCTCAGGGGACTGTGAAGAACTTTGAGGTCAAATACCTTCTTGTTTCATGATTTACTGAGTCAATTTTACAGGAGTGAAACAGACTTTTCACTTAGGTGACTTTCATGCAGAGGCAGCAAGTGTCACCAGCAGCCATCTCAGCTGTCAGGTGCACAACAAACCTGGCAAAGCCTCTGCTTCTTGGCAGTGGTTTTGTCATTCCTTGTCTGACCTTCCAGAACACTCCACTCACCTGATACCCTCAGCTTCCCTCAGTGTACCAAAAGTATGAAATCAAAATGGCATTTTCCATCCAAGTCCTCCCCCAAAGACTGCAGGTTTTACAGGCTGAGCAATTCTGCTACAGCCTGAGGACAATGAGCATCTACTTTTCTGTACTCTCACTAGGACAAACCATCTCCAAATTCAGGTTAGCAACACCCAAAAGTTATGCAGATTAACATGCAAGTCAGGCACCTGAGCAGAGGCTGTCCTGGTGTGTAACCTGGGGCCAGCCTGCACATGACACTATTTTCAAGATGGTTGTTAAAATGGAGCCCCAGTTGGAAAGATTCCTTAGCAGCGAGAGGAAGCCCCGTGACAAGTTCAAAGCAGCTGTTCCTTACCCACAACAGCTCTGTTTGCAGAAGAAATTACTTTCTTGGAGCCCGAAGGCAGCTTCACTCTGGTTTTCTTGGTTTCGGGGTTGTGGGAGATGACGGTGGCATAGTTCCCTGAGGCACGTGCCAGCTTCCCGCGGTCACCGGGCTTCTCCTCCAGGCAGCACACGATGGTGCCCTCGGGCATGGTGCCCACGGGCAGGACATTCCCGATGTTCAGCTGAGCTGCAAGGAGCATGGAGAGCAGCCCAGCTTCACTCAGGGCACTGCGCTGAGGTTCCAGCTCTGCTCTGAAGGCAGGAGCAGGGTCCTGCACCCAGCACCCTGCCCAGCCCCACCTTTCTTGCCGCAGTAGACGAACTGGCCGGTGTGGATGCCCTCGGCGGCGATGAACAGCTCCGTGCGCTTCTTGAACCGGTACGGGTCACGGAAGGCGATCTTGGCCAGCGGAGCGCCCCGGCCTGGGTCATGGATGATGTCCTGTGGGAATGCAGAGCTGCTTTAGGGCAGGACACAGCCCCTGCCGGGGGTTCTGTGGGAATCAGACAGCTGAGAGGACTG